GAAGCCACTCCCGGCCTTTGCCCAGACGTCTCCTGTCTTCACTTAGAGTGCACTTTCTAAAGCTGCTCCACGCTGATGGGGGAAACAGCTGGGGAGCAGGGTTTTGCTGTGAGGAGAAGAGGTGGGCAGGGTAAAGGAACTCTGCCCCCAAGGTGCCAATAAAATCCCCATAAGATTAGGTGGGAGCGTATTTATTGCTCATCTGGGCTAGAATTACCGTGACTGACAGCAATTTCCTTAATAACAAAAGCCTGTAAACAAAACGTCCTAAGCCCGTGCCCCCGGTGCCGTGCCGGCAGCGCCTTCTCTCTGTGGGTCTCGCTGGGCACCCACCCTGTAGCCTCCTGTCTCCCCTGCTGGAGGGTGGGACCCAGCAATGCAGAGCTGTCTGTTGGAGGAAGTCTGGGAGGTGACTCACTGAAAAGCAGCCCCGGTGAAAAGTGCTGATGGGACTTGCTTCCTGCCGCCCCCACGGGTCCAGGCCAGGAGGCGTGAGGGGGGGCCGGGGAGCTGCCCTGCAATGCCGGGCAGCGGCTCTGCAGGAAGGTGGGCTCAGGCCGCACCGCCCCACGTTCCCGGTGCGCTGGAACCAGCTCGGCCAACGCTGAGGATCCTCTGAGGACGTCTTTCTGAGCGAGGCCGACCTGGGGAGAGGTGGCTGGGGCTTACCTTCTCCTCGGCTGCAAAGACCCTCAAGTGAGTTCCGGGGAGAAGTTCTGCAGGGAAGGATCTTCCAGGTGAACTGGGAAACTCTTCATCGGGAAGCAGCTGGGAGCGCTTGGAAGTGGGTTTGGATGAGAGACTGTGGGTCCTACACCGAAAGCATATGTGTGGAATCTAATGAACAAAATAGGTCCAGAGACCTGGGAGCATGGAACAGACCGACAGATCTCAGAGGGTGGGTGGAAGAGAGTAACCAAAGAATTTATCTACATATATGCATATGGTGGACACAGACAATAGTCCAATGAAGGCCTGGGGTGGGGCAGGAGCCAGGTGGAGGGGGGCAAAAGGGTAAAAATGGGGGCACATCTATAATACTCTCAACAATAAAAAATAAATTTAAAAAAAGGAATGCTTATCTTCTGACTGTGTCTCCCACTGACCATGCAATGGGAAACCGTTGTCCCCATTTGCCAGGTTACCCTGCCAGGGAGTGCGGGAGGGATGGATCCGAATCTGATTTGTCTTCCCACCCACCCCATTCAGGCAGGAGGGAGGACAGAGGGGCAGGATGAGGCTCCCTGCGGCCTCCATCCAACCCTCCAGAAGTAGGACTGAAAGGCAGGCCATTGCCTTCATCCAACTCCCAGGCCACGGCTCAAGTCAGCACTTGGTTAGAGTGATTGCCTCCTCCTACCTCGGAGGGAGGTCTGTAAAAATGGAAAAGGAATCCCAACCCTGGGGAGACGGGCCCTTCCTGCCCGGCCATGGCTGGTGTCCGCCAGGCCTGCCAAGAAGAGGACTCAGAAAGTGTGGAGCTGGAAGGGGTGCGCTCAGCCTGGTCTCATCTGTTATCCTCGAGGCCACCTAGTGGCCGGGGTGTGGTACTGCTCCAGCCTCCCGCCTCCCACTTTTCTGCTAACCCACCAAGCTATCCTTTTCCTTTCGGGCCTAAAAAGGCCCCACACACCCACTGCTTTATGGGGAGACTGAGGCACAAAGATGTTAAGTAACTCATACGCACAGCAGCGTGCTCACCGAAGTCTCCTGATCTCCAACCGGTTCAGATGCCAGACCAACCTGGTGACCACTGGGTCCTACATTTTCTCGGGGTGTGTGTCAGTGGGAAGGAGGTTGAGAACCCACACTGGCTTGAACCGTATCAGGCCTTGTACACAGAGTCTCGCTTACTCTCCTTAGCAGCCCAAGGAGGTGGGTGCCACTGTGCCACTTACTGGGAGGAAACGGAGGTTCAGCAAATCTGTGTAACTCGTGCAAGGCCACACAGGGTGCTCCTCTTACTTTTCCCACCCTCAGGTTTGGGGTGAAATCAGAGTGAAAATGAACGTCAGGCGACCCTAAAAGGAGCTGAGGTTGGGCGGCGGCTGGGAAGCAGACACCTTTTTCTACTTGTTCCACCTCCAGGGTGTGGGTTTTGTGGGCCTAGAATCCCTGTGAGCCTCAGGCCTCTTCCATCAGTGCCCGGAGAGGTGCTGTCACTTCCTCTGAGCTCCCTCTCCAAGTTCTCAAGGAAGATGAGGGCGAGGGGTGCTGGCTGGGGTGCACAGCTCTCAGCCCGCACAGAGGGTCCCTGGGCTTGGCTCCAGTGAGAACTGCAAGGGCCACGAGCCTCCTGCCCCTCCCCTCGCACCCTCTCCCCCCACCCCAGGTCCTTTGCTCTTGGTACCCCCTCCTCCCTTAGTTTCCTTTGGGACAGGGGGTGGGGAATTTAACTCCAGGGTGAAGTTTGAATTTCACATCCCAGCCTGGGGAGAGGGCCCCACAGCCTCGCCTCCTCCCCACCCCCCAAACGTGAAAGGAGCCTTTGTGGGCTTGAAGGAGGAGGGTGGTGAGGTGCAGCCTGAGGAGCTAACTGTTTCCATGACTCAGCTCTCCCGGCCCAGGGAGGTGTGAGGACTCAGCAGGGCAGGCGGGAGCCGCCTTCTAGCCAGGCAACCAGTTCCAGGATTATAGGCCGCCCCCCCCCCGCCCGCACCCCCCCTCCCAGAACCACCTGTGACCTGCAGGGAACTTACTG